CCTTGAGAAAACTCATGCCATCTCTTAGTAAGTGTCTCTGGCTATGTCTCATCAAACATTGTTTCAGGCCCACCCAATGTCCGTCCTATACTTCTTTACTAAAAATATCATGATTTGATTCTTCGAAGCAACATGCTCAGTGTCTTAGTCCCTTTCTTGTTGTTGGGACACAATACCTGACACCAACAAGTTAGAGGAGAAGAGGTTTATTTTGGCTCACAGTTTGCAGAGGTTTCAGTCCACAGTCACCTGGCTCCAGGGCAAAAGCAGCATAATGGGAGGGCCTGGGAGGAGGAGAGCGGCTCACATCATGGTGGCTGGGAAGCAGAGAGAAGTGCAGAACTGGGACGGGGGATACATCCCAAGTCACACTCCCACTGACTGCCTTTTCCAACCAAACCCAACCTTCTAACATCACTTTAGCCTACAGGTCCCCCATAATTCAATTATCTTTTAAAAGCTCCAGCTATGAGCAAATGAAGCTTGGGGGTGGGGGGATATCCACATACAAACCATCACACTCAGCAAAATACTACATCAGTTTTCTAGTCTTGCAGCTGTGAGTGTCTTCTCAAATACATGCGGAATTCCTGGTTAGGCTACTGGGGAGCTCCTTAAACAGGCCTACTCAACTGGAAAAGTGCCTTTTGGCCTTCTCCCCTTTCTCCTTCAATGTCAGGAGCTTCAGAAAGTCCTCCTTGGAATAGAAGGAGACTAAGGAAGGAAGCAAATGTTAGTGATGATAGATCAGACAGAAGAACCTGGATTCCTGAGGACCATGGAGCCAGCATCTCATTCCTGGGGTGCCCACCACCAGACTTGTCTCATGGTCTGCCAGCTCTCCTGGCTTTGTCTGACTCCCTCTCTCTATGTGAGATGAATAAGCCATTGGGTTGGTTATTTTCCTTTTGCACTCCTTGCCCAAAGGTCCATTCTCTATTCTCTTTTCCATAATCTGTGCCCTAGAAGGCTCACATGTCCTTTGGGTTCTAGTTGGATTTGGCCAGTTGAGGTGCCTGAAAGGAGATCGGTGTGGCAGTAGAGAATGATACATTTCCATACTTCCTCCCTGCTTATGTTATCTTGGGTCCAGCAGGGGCTGTGTTCCTGGATAGCCATAGTGCCTGCCCAGAGGCCCCTCCTCCAAGGGGCCAGGTCTTGATGGGAGACTGCAAAACCATCTCTCCCTGTGTCCCTTCAGGCCATTGCCACCTACTGCTGCTAACTCCTGGGAGCATCATCGCTTCTTGTTGGTTTCCTTAACCTTATCCACAGATCTATAAATAGTGGCTTCTTCAAACTTTGCTCAGTTAAAGCCTTTTGAATCTGTCATCTGCTTCATGCTGGGATCCCCAACTGATAGAGCTTTGTATTTAGGTTCCCTGCTGTATTCAGTGAAATTTAATCCTGACTGTTACAGCCTACAAGGGCCAGGTGGTTTAAAAATAGCCACATTTAGAGCCTAGATTCATACACAGTTTATAAAATGAACACATCGTGAAAATAATCTTTGCCTTAAATTTTCTTGGAAAACTAAGTTTTTAAAAAGTTTCCCTTTGTAATTCTCCTGTTCTAGGTCTCTTGCTAAGTTTTTCCTCTTAAGCTTATCCAACACTCAAGGCCCATGGCTACCTTCTTTCTTGCTAGCAGCCCCCTTCTATCTGATGTCCTTTTACTAATCAGTCCATCAAAATGGGTTAGTGGACATTTGTCGAGCGTTGTCCTGTATACCGTGCTGACGTTGATTGGTGAGGAAGACAAATAGGCTCTGGTGTCATGGAGCTAACTTGTTTGACAGGAAAGTCAGATGCCAGACAGAGCTTTACTAATGTGGACCTATGCTAATGGGAACCAATGAGTGCATAACCCAGTTGAGTATAGGCAGGGACATTGGGAGATGGCATTTAAGTGATGGCATGAGTTAAATGAGTGAAAAAAAGGGGAAATTTGGAGATGGGATCAGGATGGACTTTCATGGTAGGCAGCAGAAAAGGCCTGTTGAGGGAGACTGAGCCTGGTGTATTTCTGAAGTTGGGGGCTGTGTGTAACAGAAAATGGAAAGGGTAAGGCTCAAGTGGTGGGCAGAGGCCAGAATTTATAGGGTCTGTGAAGCTCTCTAGAGGATTTTAAACTTTAGTCAAAGGGCAATGGGAAGCCATTTGTAGTGATCATAAGACTGTGCTTATAGGCCTCCCATGATAGGAGTTAAATCATGCAAGGGACCAGCAGCTGTGCTCTGAAGTCCATCCCTCAGTTTTCTCTGAGTCTGGCAAAGGGAGCTCCCTGTATCTTACCAAGCAGAGTTCTTACAGCAGGTCCATCCCTGGGGGACAGAGGACTCCTTCGGAGGCCATCTTAGTTCAAGGACTTCTCTGTCTCACCACATTTTCCTTAGACTCCATGGCAGTCAGGGCACTTCCACTCACTTCTTTCTCTCTTTCACTTAGGTTAGACTTGTGTCATGGTCTGACAGCTCTCCTGGCCTCCTCTGACTCGCTCTCTCCCTCTATTTTCTCTCACAGCCATTTTCCCTAATGAAATGTTTGCATGTTGAATTCTGTCTTGGTATCTAGGATCTGAGCAATCCATTTTAAGAGGGGTATTTACTGACTGAAGCATGTTGGATGAGGGGTTCTATAGGTGAGAGAAATAAAAATCATGTCATATGCAACATGGTTGAAGGACCACACTGTTTAGCTAAGATTCTGGCTAACAACCATGGAAGGATTTTGAGCAAGCAAAAGCAAGAGAGGTTTAGGTATGTAAGAAGGAATTTTGGGTTGCTGTGATCAATGGAAAGATAAATTAGGAGATAAGTGTGGCTAGTGACTATGAGGTAAAAGATTTATGGAGCAGCTGGTTCTCTAGCCCAGCCTAGACCTCATGGCCTAGGGCTTCAATTCCCATCTTGCCAATACCATTCTTGTAACTTGGGTGACAAAACCCCAACCCTATCCCACCCTCTTTGGGTCTACGCAGGCCTGAGAAGCTTCTGGAGGATACATAGCTCAAATGACACATTTGCAGCCATTTTGCCTTCCTGATCTCTGACCACACTCAATCTCAGGCTCTTTTAATCAGTCTCTGTCCCTCATTCTTCACAATAGGCTTGTTTGTGTGTGTGTGTGTGTGTGTGTGTGTGTGTGTGTGTTTTGGTATTTGTTTAAAATTCCTCTCTGTTTTCTTTAAACCGAACCTGCCAGCCCTTTTCTCATTCACAGGAAATGGCCATGTCTTTAACTTCACATTGAAATTAAAGTCAATAGATGAAAAGTTCTTCAACTTCCTGCCACCAAGTTACCAAACTTAACAGTGTCTGGAACTTCATTCTGTCTGCCTTATCTTTTCAGAGTTGTCCATTTTCCTCAGGTAAGTGAAAATTAGGGAGGCCATTGTTTTGGACAGAGGACCTGTACTGGATCCCATCAGAACAGATAAAAACCAAAATGGAGTCGCTCACACTAAAATTCCATGACTCGGAACTGAAACTGAATTGTTTGTCTACCCTTCAGAGAAGTCAGGAGAGAGATGATATCAAAATCTCCAAATAGGCCAGTTTTAGCTGACCTGCTAAGGCAGTCCCCTCTCCTTTAAACCTTACATGGAAAGTGATTCCTAGCACACTGATGTTCATGGATCTGCTTTTTATACAGGCACACCTCATTTATTGTGTCTGCTTTATTGTATTTTGTGGATATTGCTGTTGCTCGCTCTTTCTTTCTTTCTTTCTTTCTTTCTTTCTTTCTTTCTTTCTTTCTTTCGTCTTACAAACTGAGGGGCCATGGCAAATGCATCAAGCAAATCTGTTGGCATCACTGGGCCACTGTCATATTTGATATTTTTTAATTTAGACATATATTTAGACATAATGTTATTGCACACTTAATAGACTACAGCATAGTATAAACATAACTTTTATACATGTTGGGAAACAAAAAAATTCACATAGCTCACTTTTTTGTGATATTTCACCATTATTGCAGTAAAACCAAACCTCCAATAGCTCCCAGGTGTGCTGTGTTGTGCTGCTTCCTTGTTCTTGCTCAAGCTAACTTATAAAGACTGGCTCTTCTGTCCTGCTGAACATTTCTCTATTTTGGGATGAGATGCTGCCTGATTCATGAATTGCAAATGAAAGCCAATTAGATCATTTAATGAGATTTGTGGAAATGTCTTTGACACCTACCTCTCTTATGCGAACACCTTTTATCTACTACTTCCTTCTGCTGTTGCTGAGAGATTCTTCCATGGTTCCCTGTGATGGGTCGTCAGTGTTTGGCTCATTTACTTATGTAACTAGCTGTGTGAGAGAAGAAAGAGAAGACCAAAATCATGACAGCCTGCTTACACAGCTTTGGGGTCAGTGCTGGGCCTAAAACCCTTTGAGATCAGTGCCACCTTAGACAATGACTTCAGCTTGATCTCTAAGTGAAAGCACTGGAGAAAGTCAAATGCTTCTTCCTTGTGCATCCTAACCTGCTGTTGCCCGTGACCTGTTGTATGCCCACCCCATGGCCACTGCTATTCTTCCAACAGTGACACATATTTTTAGTTTCTTTTTTTTTTGTTGTTAAAATGACAAAAATTTCAGTATACAAAATTTCCATTTAAATGTTCCTCAGTTGCACATAGTTACGGAGCACAGTATAGCACCTGCTCTGGACTGGCTTTACCGGGAATCTAACTGGCAGAGCATATCACTGTTTATGGTTATATGCTATTTTATTGGGCGAACCCAGGACCGTTTCGGTGATGTGATCCTCTGTTCTCTGGTTTAGCTGGAATAGTCCTGGACTTCTCAGAAAACTGTATCAAGTCTACTACTATTGTACAAATGGGCCATTTTAGGGATTTTAAACTTTAAATGATCATGTAGTTAGTTCCTTCTCTATTTTTATGTCAGTAGTACAAGGACTTAACCCAGTCTTTGTTTCAAAGATCATTAAAAATTATGTGATGGAGGTGAGTGGGAGGCGAGTCCTGGTTCTTGGTCATCCACAATGGGTGAACCCCAGCAAGTGAGTGCACTCCCACCACCTCCGATGCAGTACATCAAGGAATATACAGATGAAAATATTCAGGAAGGCTTAGCGCCCAAGCCTCCCCCTCCAATTAAAGACAGTTATATGATGTTTGGCAACCAGTTCCAATGTGATGATCTTATCATC